GGGCCTGTGCCATCTTCACCATTGTCGCTACATTGGAGCCCATTGTTGCAGCCGCTGTGTCCATCCCTCTCATTGTGGAGCTTCTTGCTCCTAGAGCAGACAAAATGTAACCATGTTACAGGTGCTGTCATGGAGGGAAACTCAGGGTACAGGGGTACAATGAGGAAGAAAAGAGGGCTGAGGAAGAGTCATTCACTCCACCAACCCCACTGCCATCGAATCAGTTCCCACTCATAGCAACCCTCTAAGACAGTAGAACTGCCCCATAGGGTTTCCAAGGATGTCATCTTTACGGAAGCAGACCACGTCCCTCATCTTTCTCCCACAGAGTGGCTAGTAGGTTTGAACCACCGACCTTTGGGTTAGCAGCTGATGCTTCACCTGCTGTACCACTAGAGCTCCTTGCCATTCCCCCAGTGGGTCTATATTCCAGTGAGGGGGTGTATATTAAATATCAAAAGTCCTATGCTCCAGCAAGAGTGGATTTCTTTCTCAAGTGCTGTCTGGAGGCAGACAGTAGCCCATGAAGGGAAGGCAGCAGGTCCCCAAGGTCATCAGGGAGTCCAGGTTCCTTTTTTTTTGTTCTTTTGACACTCCCAGGGATCAGAGACGGCTCTTGGCATCCTATCCGCACCACGTTTAAGGGGCGAGACCAGAGTCACTGCCCACATCTGCACCCAAACAATCCACAGGAACTTGGTGGGGAAACACCTGGAGGCTTAGGTGTGCTTAGGTGACGGAAAGATAAAGACCAGTGGCTTTGGAGGGAACAGTTGTTAGCTGCTGTCACTTTGGGCCCTGACTCATGGCGACAACACGAACAGCACAGTGAAGTCCCGCCTGGAGCTGCATCACCCCGTGATCGGTGGTGGATCAGACCGTTGTGATCCAGAGTCCTCATTGGCTGATTTTTGAAAGCAGATCTCCTGGTCTTTCTTCCTAGTCTTTGTTGGTCTGGAAGCTCCACTGAAACCTAGTCAGCATCCGGGCCACACAGAAGCCTTCACTGATAGACGGGTGGTGGCCGCACGTGAGCTGAACGGGCCAGGAATCGAACCTGGGTCTCCACATGGAAGGCACGGATTCTGCCGAATTAGTGGTTCCTAAATGATATGTGGGGATTATGTGCCTAAGGCACTTGACTGCTAACCAGAAGGCTGCCGGTTCAAACCCACCAGCCACTCCTCGGAAGGAAGGTTGGGCAGTCTACTTCCATAGTGATAACGCCTCAAAAACCCAAGGAGGGGTCGCTATGAGTTGGGGTCAACTTGACGGCACATAACAACAACAACAAATAATATGTGGGAGCTCTGGTGGCGTAGTGCCTAAGGCATTTGACTGCTAACCAGAAGGCTGTCCGTTCAAACCCACCAGCAACTCCTCGGAAGGAAGATGGGGCAATCTACTTTCGTAGTGATACTGCCTTGGAAACCCAAGGAGGGGTCGCTATGAGTCAGATCCAAATTGACGGCAGTGAGTTTTTGAGTTTTTTAAATAATATGTGGTTGGTTTAATTGTAGTTCTTAATTCTTTTTAAAAGTGTCTTCAGCTCTCTAGAGAAAAGCAGGTATGTGTTCTGTTGGCTCAGCTCAGAGAAGCTCTTCAAGGGTTTCTAACTTGCTGCACAGAGATCTGCCCCTACGTGTGTGTGTGTGCCAAGCCATACTGTGCCAAAATCTGAGAGGAACCAGAGCGTTGATGTCCTTTTCATACTCACCAAGTCTCAGCATTTACTTTTTTTTTTCCCTCCCAACTTTTCATTGTGGTTTGGGTGAAAGTGTGCAGAGCACATTAGTTTCCCTTTCAACAGTTTGTACATACTGTGTTTGGTGACATTGACTGTAGTCTCCTCAGTGTAATAATATTATCCCCACTTCCTCCTTGGGGTCCTTGTGTCCATTGGTCCTCCTTCTGGCCCCTTCCTGCCTTCTGAGCTTTGGTTTTGGGCAAATGCTGCCCCTTTGGTCTGGTCTAGTGGACTGGATGGAGGAGTACATTCTTCCCTGCTGTTATTAATCACTTTATAGCCCTGTTGTTTGGCTGAAAGTTGATCCCAGAGGTGGGTTCTGTTCCAGCCCTGAGGAGTGGCTAAGGGCCACAGCCTTGGGACTTCCAGCAGCCTCTAACAGAACAGTAAGTCTGGCTGTTTTTATGATTTTAAATTTTGTTTCCCCCTCTCTGTTCAGGACCTCCTGTTGTGATCTTAATCAGAGCAGTCAGCAGTGGTAGCTGGGTACCATCTAGTTCTTCTGGTCTCAAGGTAATGGAGGCTGTAGTTCACTCGCATTAGTCCTTTGCACTGTTTCCTCAAGTCTTTGATTGTCTTCACTCTTCTACTGGACTGGGAGAGACCAATAGTTTCAGCGTTTACTTTTGAGATAGATAGTCAGTGGGGGGGGGAGTTACCTTTGTAAAATCATTTGCATTTCACAGAAATATTTTGTAATATGTAACATTTCTTATCTCTCTCTCTCTCTTTTTTTTTTTTTGCTAGTAGTTCTATTTGCTTTCTAAGAATGGGAAAAACAGTCATGACCAGATACTGGCTTAAGAAAATCTGATTTCTGATTTTAATTTATTGTTTCTAGCAGTACACTAATCAGTTTTGGCATATTTTATATCCAGGATAATATCATTAACCAGTCGTCTTTCCTAGTAGTTTTTGAGCGGATCACATACCGAGCAGAAGTTGATTTCACTTGTTGAGTGTAACAACTCACATACAAGATAGCCTTCTATTTCAAGGTTGTAATGTGTGAGTTACCATCTATTTTGGACCAAAAAATCAGAATTTGACTTTAAACCTTTATCTCAAGCAGCTTTCCATACGAGCTGTTAGTATAATAATAACTTTCTGAATTATTATGGATTTTAATGTTTTCATTTCCAGGCAGTTTGAGGTTATTGTGGTGACATCTGTTCTTACGTGGATACTTGATGGTATTTAGCAGTTTCCATCAGAAGCCTGGGAGCTCTGGTGGCATAGTGCCTAAGACATTTGACTGCTAACCAGAAGGCTGGCAGTTCAAACCCACCAACTGCTCCTCAGAAGGCAGATTGGGCAATGCTTTTGTAGTGATACTGCCTTGGAAACCCAAGGAGAGGTCACTGTGAGTTGGATCTGACCCCACAGCAGTGAGTTTTTCTTTTTTATCATAAGGCTGTTTTCACTCTGTTGCCCTTTAATTTCTGTCCGAAAGGTTGTAGATGGGTTTGATTTAAATCTCATTACTTGGTCCTACCTTTCTTCAGTGTTAGAGGTTCGGGGTGAGGGGCTGGTTATTACTTGTATCTTGTATTTTCTTATATCCTTATGGTGGTTTTTTAAAAATAATAATAATAATAATTCTGTAGTGAAATGTACAGGCCTGTGGAAGTCCTTTTAATCTCCTTTCCTTAAATAGCCCAGTGGGAGTCACTTCCTGGAATCTTCCTCACACACCGCGTGTGCTCCCAAATCAATCCACTAATGAGCATTGCCCTTACCCAGAGCTTGCCTGCTGGCTTGGAGTCATATCTGGCACAGTGTTGTTATCACTTGGGACTGCTGAGTAAGACTTTAGAGAAAATGACAAACTGTTGATTTCAGTTTGTAGATGGCTGTGGATAATGTAAGCTCTCTGGGAGCTTGGGTTCATGGTTGACAAGAGAAATGCGATAAGCAAGTAGGTAAATAGCATTCAGTAACTGCTGGTTGACTGACTGGAGCTTTATAGTAATGAAAGAATGAAAAACAAGTTTTGTTATATGAAGGACAGTCATTGCTTAATGGGCACTTAGTGGCTGTTAACGGTGTATTTTTACCATTCAAAAAAGCATGAACTTTGAATGCGATATAAATCTAGATTCTTCAATGCAGATAGAACCCCCGTGACATGAAAACATAGGAGAACAATAACTAATTGAAAAGCTGAGACATATTAAAGAACCAAGACCCACTGCCGGTGAGTCACTTATGACTGATAGCAGCCCTATAGGGCAGAGTAGAACTGTCCCATAGGCTTTCCAAGGCACTCAATCTTTACCAATCTTTACCTCATCTTTCTCCCATGAAGTGGCAGGTGGGTTAGAACTGCTGATCTTTCAGTTAGCAGCCCAGTGCTTTAACCATAGCACCACTAGAGCACCCTTCAGGCATAATAGTCAGTGCATTTGTTTTACTTTATTTTAAGAGAGCCAAAGGCAAAATGATTCTCACGCTGTGACCAGAGTGTATGTTGAGGATAAATATATACACAGAAATATGAATGTCATTGTTATTCACAAATTTATATCAGATGATGTGTAAAGTTCCTCTAAAACACGTTTTCTTTTCTTGAGGGAGTGTACACTTGCGTTTATCAAGTCACTGCATAAGGCATAGCCCCTAAGACACTTCACATGGCCATTTATCATTAATCGGGTTGTGTTAATTGCCCTTGAGTCTGCTCCCACCCCATGATGAGCCCATGTGTACCAGAACCAAATGTTGCCCTTTGCGTCCGTATGTTGGTGTCTGTTGTTCCGGCCATCGGGTCGGTCTGTCTCACTGAGGGTTTCCATTGTCGTCGTGGCTGATCTACTTCACCAAACGTGGTTCCTACTCCAGCGGTTAGTCTTACCTGATGACGGGTCCAAAGTGAGTGATCCGTCCTCACTTTTAGGGAGTATCCTGGTTTTATTTCTTGTAAGATTGATTTGGGAGTCCATGGTGTATTCAGTAGCAGAAGCAAAATCTGAGCTAATATTGATGTTATCTGTTTTGAGACTTTCCGTTCAGAGTTTCCACGTGTACTATGATACCTGCCGCACCAAACCAACCTCCCCTTCCCCAATAGTGTGTGTTTGAAAAGGAATTAGAGGAAAATTATGAACCAGTAAAATACGTCCTATTGGACAAGGGATGAAATAGAAGAACAATGACATCGATTTCAAAGGAAAAAACAAAGCATAAAATCTGCCTGTTTCAAAGTTTGGAAGGTGCTTTGTGTTTTATGTGGTCAGAGGCTGGACGGGTCACTGTGCACAGGTCTGCACATGACGTCACCGTGAAGGTGAGCAGCCTCTTGTTAACAGACCATTACCATTTCACCTAAAGTCCGGGAGGAATGCAGACGTGCGTTTTGCAAAAAGCAGACACTTTGCTTTAAACTTCTTTTCCAGAAAGAGATTGCAGGTCATTCTCCTTGCTTAATTGAAAGGTAGTAGATGGGGCATGGGAGCCCTGGTGGCACAGTGGTTAAACGCTCGGCTGCGAACTGAAAGGGCTGCAGTTCAAACCCACCAGCTGCTCCACTGCAGAAAGATAAGGCAGTCTGCTTCCCTTAAGACTGACACCCTTGGAAATCCCCTGGGGCAGTTCTCTGCCCTCTAGGGAAGCTGTGAGTTGAATTGACTTGACAGAAACAGGTTGGGTTGGGTTTGGAACCTTAATTCCGTGCTTTAGTTCCGTTTTCTTGATATGATTTGTGTGCGTGTCTGCAAATTGATGTGCCACTTAACCTCAAGACTTATTAGAAACACTTGAATATTACCATTTATAGATCTAATGAGACGATAATGATGATAGCTGACTTGACTGAACAGTTGTATGTGTACAGGTGTCAAAAGTTGAAGCCCACATCCATAACTAAGACTAATGTGTTTCCCAGCACCACCCCCCAAAAAAAACACTGCCTTTTGGTAGATGGGATTGGGAATTTTCTTATTTTCTGATTATCTAATAGTTTTCTAATTAAAAATATAAAAAAGGCAAAATCATTGGTTTTCTAGTAACTAATTATGTTTGTAATTTAAAAACATAAAGATGGATATTTGGGGAAGAATTTTGCTTTGCTGTTTTAAGAGAACTTACCATAACTAAAATGATAGACTTAAATTAAAATTGGAACCTTATTGTTTGAAGTCATTTTTGTTTAAAATCTAACTTTTGTGAATTATTTAAACACAGTAATCATATATAAGAATTTGTATATTATTTCATTTAGATATTTGACAAGTATCATTTCTTTATAAAAGCAAAATATTGTAAAATGTTAATTAGGTCAAGTTGCGTGACTGGCTTCTTCCACTGAGCGTGTCGTAGCATGTATCAGTACTTCATTACTTCTTATGGTTGACGAATATTCTAGCATATGGAGAACCCACATTTTGCTTATCTATTCATCCATTGGTGGACATTTGAGTTGTTTCAGTTTGGGGGTTATTGGGCATAGTGCTGCTCTGAATATTCCTGTACAGGCGTCAAAAGTTTGTGTGAGCACGTTTTCACTTCTCTTGGGTTTGTGCTTATGAGCACTGGTGGCGCAGTGGTTAAGCACTCGACAGTGAACCGAAAGGGTGGTGGTTCGAACCCACCAGCCACACTGCAGGAGAAAGATGTGGCTTTGCTTCTGCAAAGATTTCAGCCTTTGGAACCCTGTGGGGCAATTCTGCTCTGTCCTATAGGGTCACTATGAGTCGGAATTGCCTCAACAGCAACCAATATTATTTATTTGTTTGTTTGTTTGTTTTGGGGGGGAGGATATGTGCCTAGGAGTTGAATCACCCAGCATGTGGGAGCTCCATGTTCTACCGTTTGAGGGGCTGACGAACTATTCCAAGTGGGCACTCAGTCATCATCTTTGAAATACAGTTGAACCATCTTCTAAATTTTAGAGAGAAGATGAGGAAGAGAGTCTGTTTCTCATTCACTGTTTTGATTGGGTATTAATCCAGTACATGGGTAAAACAGCTTTCAATGTCATTGAATCGAGTACACGTTAGTTGAATTCCTGCTGTGCGTGAGAAAGTTGTGCTTGGCTTTGTGAATGGCAGAATATTTTTGTGGCATTTGATAACTCAGTACTGTGTGATTTCTGTATGCCAGTGGCCATTTGGGATGGTCTGCAGAAATGGACTTGGGTCCTACCTACCACAGACCTGCAATTCATCAGTGCTTGGAATAGTCTATAAAGAGCTCATTCTCTGGCTGTATTGGGTATTCTGCATCCAAAGGTGAGGGCTAATCACTGTTCCCATTTAAATCATCGACACACACCCTCTTGGAAAACCATCCACAACAGACCAGGAGAATAGTAAAAATGTTGCTATATTTCTTGATATGTTCACAGGGAATGTTCACATGTTCAGGTCTCATAAGTCAGGTTCGGAGTTGTGCCAGGATCGTGCGAACAGGTAGCACGCTCAGCTTACCAGAAGTTTGGTGGTTCAGGTCTACACAGAGACGTCTCGGATCAGGAGGCCTGGTGACCTGCTTCTGAACAATCACAGTAATCGAGGACCCTGTGGAACACAGTTCCACTCTGACACACACAGGGCGCCGGCAGCTGGTTTTCCTGGTTAAGCCAGCTTAGCAGGCAGGGCGAGGGCATGCCCAGGAAGGGGGATGTGCAGTGCAGTTGTCCTGTGATACAGAAACAGGAAATCTGCAGTAGGGTTGGGAAGACCAAGAGCCGGGCTCAGCAATCTTTTTCTGTCCAGGGCCAGATACTATCACTATATTCACGTAGTCTGCCTTCATGTAGTCTACCATCTCTGTCCCAGATACTCAACTCTTGCCATTATATGTGAAACCAACCACCAAACCGGAAACCAAGCCAGGGGCCGTGGCGTCAACTCCAGTTATGGTGACCCCCTGTGTATCAGAGTGGACCTGTGCTCTCTAGCGTTTTTAAGGCTGTGATCCTTTGGAAGTAGATCATCTTCTGAGGCCCCTCTGGGTGGACTCCAACTGCCACCCCTTCAGTTACTAGGTGAGCGTTGAACCGTTTTGCACTACCCTCAACCAAAACCAAAACCACCGCCATCCAGTGGATTCCGACTCATAGCTGTCAGGAACTCCAAAGACATTGCCTCATAGTGACCCTGTAAGTCAGGGTAGAACTGCCCCATAGGGTTTCCAAGGGTGTCATCTTTACAGAAGCAAATTGCCACATCTTTCTCCCTTGGAGCAGCTGGTGGGTTCAAACCACCAACCTTGAAGTTGACAGCCTAGTGCTTAACCGCTGTGCCACCGAGGCTCCTTAAAAGCAGTCATAGACCATGTGTAAATAAATGGATGTGGCAGAGTACAATAAAACTTGATATATGGATAACAAAATGGTGATTTCTCCTTATTTTCCCAGGTCCTGAAATAGCCCTGTTCCTTTTGTTTTGCTTTTGACTATTTCCAAATATACAGGCCACACTTAGTTCACCAGCAGTGGGATGTGGCGCAGAGACCCCAGTTTGCTGATCACAAAGTTTTATTTCTGCTTCTTGAGGCTGCAGCCTCATGAGCTGGAGGCCATCTGGGGCTTCAGGCCCCGGGGGTCCACTGCGTGATTAGGCCGCAGCCAAGGTTGTGGGGGCTTGCACAGGCGTGGCAGATGTGTGTATAACCACAGTTTTGCCACAGGCCATTTTGAGGGACTGTCTGCCCTGATGCTCAGAGGTTCCCTAGACTTATGCCCCTGCCCTCACTCAACTTGGGGCTACTCCCTCTTGCCCCGCCTCGTGTCTGAGGACATTTGAGATTGTCACAACTGAGAAGAGTAGGCTGGTGGGTAGAGACTGTGGACAGTACTAAACAGTCTACAATGTATAAGAAGTCTTCAATGCCAAGTGTGATGCGGCCTGATGGTCACTACTGCTGAGGTCGGAAAGGCCTGTTCCATCTAATAAAGGTGTAAAGGAGGCACTGAGAGCAAGGGCTGCAAGCCATGCTACCTGGCTCCACTGCCCTCCCCTCTGGGTTGAGTGTCCGATAAAACGTGATGGTGAGGACTTCAGCCCCTGATGTGGAGATGAATAAGTGCGGAATGGCATGTGCTGCCCATGAATCATCTTGGGTGCAGAGTAAGGTCTCCATAGATGTTGGATGTTACTATCCATAGAGTGTTGGTGATAAACATTCCAGGATCAGAT